GAATGAAAGAACATGCAGTATTCAAGGAACAGCAAAAATTTCAGTAAATGTAAATAAAAATAATACAACTACATGCTAATAAAATCAAATTGTAAGCTACTTCCTCATTCTACTTTCTAAAATAATCAACATTTATTAAGCTTTCATCATGGAAAGTTTTTAAAGAAAATACAGAGGTGAAGCATTAACTGGTAGAGACAAATACACATTTATAAGACACCACATATATTTGGTACTATCAGAAATAAAGGTTCTCTCCTCTTAAAATACTTTCCTTCAAGGATCATACAAAAAAACTAATACCAGCCAAGATTCAATTACTCTACACAGTGTGCCTAATTGTTTTCAGAATTCATCTCAAACCAGTGTTTTGACCATATTTTTTTATCTTTAGATTTTTTTTATTAAATTATTATCTGTGTACATATGTACACAGATAATAATTCAATTGACCATATTTTTAAAGTATCATGTATTCAAAATTTTCATAAAGTGAGAAGGGAACCAAATCTTTTGTACAGACATCTAAAAAGGAATAAAAAGTACCTTCCCTTCCTTTTCTTCAGCTTAAAACTGAACCATTTCCCAATAGCGAGGTTTAGTAAACAGTTTCACTAAATTGAGCCGTAAACACACTAATGGAACTTCTTTTAATTTGAGGTATACAACTAACTGTGTGGTCATTTACAAGTTAGATCTTATAACCAAATACTGTACATCATCTATGCTATGGCAGTCTTTATTTTAACCCAAAGGCTTTTAAAAATGAATGTGCAAAAAATTTACAGTTCCAAAGATTTAAGTTCATGTCTTTCTCATATTTACTCTTCCTAAGAATACGTAACATTAACCTCAAAGCCAGACAAGCTGAAAGCCTAGGATGGTTGGTACAAAGAAAATATAGTCAGCTACAACAAGCAAGCTGGAGTGAGCAAAGCATTTGTATCAGGTTACACAGTGACTGTCACTCTTTGACAACAGAGAAAGGGGGGTAGAAACTACTTGCCTTTAAGATGTCTTTAAATATTCATTATGTACAAAAGTCACAAACATCTTCTCTGCCTTTTAAAAAATGAATTTTTCCCTTCTAAGTCTATTTTTCACTGACAACATTTATAACTTATTAATAAATTTCTTGCTCCAGTGGTTTCAGTGGGCCAAAAAACAAACAAAGACTTCTAAGTACCTTGTGATAAAACAGCATTTCTTGTTTCAATCACATTATCCTAAACCTTGCACTTTTACACAAATGTTAGCTGATGCTGACTCAAGTTTGGCAAGTATGTTTTTTATTTATTTACTTACTTCAGGGCCCTTCAAACATGGATGTGACTGTTCTAGTAACCAGAATTCATACCAAATTAAGTGGGATGTGCTACTCCTTCAGTGAAGAAAAAATCTTATGCATATTTTAAAAATAGAAATGACTGCCTTTACAAAAAATAAGATTTTCTATGCAAAAAGGCAAATGAAAATATTCTGCTACTGTTTGACAAAGATCATTTTCAAATTTTGTAAGCCAAGAAATATAAGAGCTATCAATCTACATGTTCTCCTAATTTTAAAATTGCTTGCTACTTTAAATATTATCCTGAATGAAACTGAATAAAAGTAACAAAGGGATGGAGAAAAGCAAATAAAAATTGAATCATAAACACCAAAAACAGCTAAACAAGTTGCTGGAGTTTGAAGAAAAGTTATTATTGTAGATTTTCTGACACTAAACCCAAATAATAATTTAAAAATTTTTATATCAATTAAGTCCCTCTGTATACACAAAACTTTTAAGTCCTCATCAAATAGGAATTAAGCATTTCAAAATCTGTTTTGGTAAGTAGCTTCCCGATTTTTTAATTAAAAATAATCTTTTGAGTCCTAGCCAGTTTTTTTCAGTGAATAGAGCACCCTGAAGGATCAGGTCAGTTTTTAAAATTAGGAGAACATGTAGATTTATCTAAGCTCTTATATTTAATTCCGGTCAAAGGCACATACCTTGGTTTCAGGCTCAATCCCCACCCTGATTGGGGGGAAAAGAGGGAGTGTGGGAGGCAACCAATTGTATCTCTGAGTCTTCGACCTCCCTTCCACTCTAAAAAAAAATCAATGGAAAAATATCCTCAGGTAAGAATTAATAAAAAAACAAACCTTTTGGCCGAGACCGGTTTGGCTCAATGGATAGAGCGTCGGCTTGGGGACTGAAGGGTCCCGGGTTCGATTCCGGTCAAGGGCATGTACCTTGGTTGCGGGCATATCCTCAGTAGCGGGTGTGCAAGAGGCAGCTGATCGATGACTCTCTCTCATCGATGTTTCTAACTCTCTATCTCTCTCCCTTCCTCTCTGTAAAAAATCAATAAAATATATTTAAAAAAAAAAAAAAAACCTTTTGAAAAAATACTTTTTCAACTTTTTCAATTGGTATAAAAAGTTTTCATAAATCATAAAAACCCGGGTTTTTGTTTTAGTACACCACTGATTTCAAGACTACTTTAAAAAATAAACAGAAGGTCACCAAAGGTTTTGCTGACAATTTTTATACTTTACAGTTTCACTCTCAAATCTAGAGCTTGCTATCAATGAAACAGACCAAAGAACTGCTCCCAAAAGAAAATGAGTTAAGGTTTCCGGAATAATAATTTCAAGTATAATCTCAACAAGGTTAGACAAAGCAGACATTCAAGTCTGTAGGTTCTAATCAACCAACAGTACACTAAACACCATTTGGCTTATAATTTGTAAGACAAAAAGACTCTTTCTCCAATTGAATGCAAAACATTTAAATACCAGTACAGTGTGCCACAAAATGAACTGAGTTAAATAAGACCTATCTAATAGCTCTCCCAATACCTTGTTTTAATCCTGTATATCAGAGATGAAACATTTCAGTAGCAGTAAATGAGTATTCCACAATGTTTGGTATTTGACAGTTGCTTTAAATCAGAGGTGGGGAACCTTTTTTTCTGCCAAGGGCCATTGGGGTCTTTATAACATCATTCGCTTAATTTAATTCATTTAATATAAATTCATATTGCTATGAAAAAAAGCTCCTTGGTTTATTGAATTTCGAGCCCAGCCTGCGGTTGCCTTGGCAGGGACAGACCAAAGGAAGGGCCAGTAGTTCCCCACCCCGACTTTAAACCAAAAACAAATAAATAACTCCATAGTTTCAGAGTAAATACACAAATAGTAGCTAAGATTTTTTTTAAGTCTCCTTAAAACAAGTAAGAACACTGACTATTTACAATGAAAACATTCAGTCTTCTACTGAGACATCATATGACCAGTACAGGAAGGTACTACCTGATAACCTGACGATAAGAAAAATGCGTTTGGTGCATGAACTGGAAGAATTAAAAGATTTGACCCAGTTCAAGTTATACATTTTCGTTTCAGCAGTCACTAGACTGTCATCTCAAATAAGTTACTGCTCTTCTGAAAATGTAAAAAAACCCAGGCTAAGATGACATAGAGGTGATTCAATAACACACACTAACTTGAAATGTAGGAAGTCATGCTATGCTGCACACACACTTAAGCGCAGAATAAAAGTGGCGATGCCCAGGCTGGTGAGGCTCACCAGTTGAGCGTCCACCCAGGAACCAGGAGGTCGTGGGTTTGATTCCTGGTCAGGGCAGGAACCCTGATCCCCAGTTGGGGATGCGTGCAGGAGACAGCCACCGATGTTTCTGTCTCTCTATCGCTCTCCCTTTCTCTCTGACTCTCAAAATAAATAAAAACATTTCCTAAAGTGGTGAGATTATGGGTACCTGGAGAATCTACCTTTTTAAACGGAAGGTTAACGTGTATATATAGTCGAACAAATCTTATTGGGAGCAGAGGAATCCAACTATCCCCTGGAAAATCCAAGTACTTTCTTAGAATCAGTCAGCAAATATCATTACAGATCAAAATACCTGAAAGTTAAGATCACTAAGAAATCTTCATTCAACTCCTCTGTTCTGTGAACTAATCCCTACAGTAGCAAAAAAAAAAAAAAAAAAAAAAAAAAGTTACATTCCTTTCTATCTTAACCTTTATCAGATTAAGATTCTTCTTCACGGGCAGATTTCCATGCCCTAGGCCATATAACACCAAGAAAGATACATGAAGTGTCAATAAGTACCAAAAAGCTAAATGTTCAGCACTAGAAGGGATGCCGCAAATGAGAAAACACCTTGACAGCCTCCTCCCAACCTATTCCCCCAACAAGCCATTTAATCAGCTTTATAAGACACATTTACGGCAGAAGTTACACGCTGAGCGAGACGCCAGAACCCTAGCAGGGAAACAGAATCAACCGTCCCGACTCTTGGAGGCAGGCAGTCGGGAAGATTAGAAACTGGCGTCCGCAGGATCAGGAGTTTGAGAGAAGGGTAAGCGGTGTACTGGAAGGTGAGTTTAGAGACAGACAGACACACACACACACACACACACACGGGGAAATTAGGAAAGAAGTTGGTGTCGGAAGACTAGGTGGAGGCGAGGCCGACGTCCGCGTCCGAGAGAGGACACGGCATTGCAGGTGCAGACAGCAATTCACTTATGGCCTCTGGAAATGCCGAAGAGTTCTACCAAAGACCTGACTCGGGTGCAAGATGCAAAAATAAAATTAAAAAAAAAAATGTTGTTGATACGTGGCGCTCTGAATGAGCCCCCTTCCAAGAAGGGTCGCAGCCCGATCGAGTCAATGGGTCCAAGGAGGCGGGCACCGGCCGGGCAACTCCACCGGCGACGGAACGCAGTCATGTGCGCACAGCCTCCCCGGTCCGAGGCCTCAGGGTCGGCCAGCAAGAAGTGGGAGCAGCCCCTGGGGCTCCGGGGCTCCGGGGCTCCGGGCCCCCCTCCTGGCCCAGCCTCTGTCCTCTCTTCTCACTCCCCCCTCACAACTCCCCCCCCCCCCCATAGCCTGGGACCGGAGCCCCGGGAAGCTTCCGGCCGGGCGCTCCCGGCAGGCGTGGGGCCCAAGAAACAAAACGCTCGTAAGCGCTGCGAGTGACACTCACCGGCCCGAAACCTCGAATGAAACCAGCAGCTCCGGGGGCGGCGGCGGCGGCAGTGGCAGCAGGAACCGAACATCCAAAATGGCGGCTCCCTCGGCCACACCACCGCGACTGCAGGCGGAGGGATCCTCAGGAGGAAGGGGGTGTCGAACGGAGTTCACACGCTACTGCCGAACACCTAGGTCCCTCGCTTCCTCTCCCGGTCGATCCCGCGTCCTCGGGCCGCCGACTCCCCGCGCCTCCCCTCGCCTCGCCCCCCGGAAAGCTCGGACCCCGCCGAGGACTATTTGCCAGGGAGGAGGTGACTGCTCCCGGCAGAGCGACGCAGAGCGTAGCGAGAGGTCGGGGCTGTCACTGATGACGCGAGACGCTGCTGCCGAGTCACCGCTGCGAAGGGTCTGAGCGAGAAAGATCCGGCTGACCCCGGAGCCCCGCGGACATTGGTTCCGCCTGGGCGGGGCGGGGCGGGGCGGGGCGGGGCGACCAGGAAGCGACCCGGCCACCTGAAGGGGGCGGGGCCAGCCCGGGAGCTAGGAAGTGGGAGAAGCAAAGCAGGTGGGGACCCTGAGCTCTGAGCTGGGGAGCTGAGCGGTCCGAACGCGCGAGAATCCCAAACTCGTTCCTATGAAACCTTAGCTTTTTCTTTTTCTTTTTTTCTTTTTTTCAATTTAAATACATTTTATTTTTTTATTTTATTTTTTTTTAGACAACCTACATGACATGCTTCCCTCAGCTTTTTCTTCAGGTACAAGTCAGGAACATGCACCAGGTGGTTTGGGATTCTGTGGTTTCATGGTATCCTTTACTTTTAAAAATTAGAGGATGCCAGTTATTGCAGCCTGCATTGGACGAGTGGTGTAAATTCTTAGGGCCTCGATTTCCTCATCTATCAAAAGAGCTAAAAAATAAAAATAAAAAATAAAAAAATCCTTCCAGAGGGGGCTTTCGGACTGACTTCATGAACTCATAACCTGATGAGCCCAAAGACAGCCTAACCAGACAGGGACTGGCTTGATAAATAATTACCAACACCTGATAGGGAATATTTTCCATGTGAACGGACAGACAAGCCATGATCTCTTGGCCCATTTAAAGGAAAGGTGACCTACCTAAGCTAAAATCCTTCAGGTAGATTGGCAATAAGGTACGAGCCAAAGTAAATAAGGTACAGTACCTGGTTAGATGCCAAGGAGAACTAACCTAACCATAAATCTGGAGTTCAGGACTTGTCATAGCCAGGAGTTTGCACCTTTTTTTTCCTTTAGCCACACTCATTCAAGAATGTCAAAAGGTTTTACAAAAATTGAGTGGGCTGAACTGTACAATTTTGTTCTTGCATTTCCTGGAGCATGGGGTGGGGAGGCCAAGGACATAATAATAGTAACTATTTTTATTATTAAATATTGGTATCACACACTGCTTATAAAAGCGTTTTCATATGTATAACATAACTTGACCTCCCAACAATCTGAGTCAGGCTAGATAAGCACATATAACTTAGTTTTACAAATAAGATTGAGGCTCAGAGAAACTGACATGCTGAAAGACTCTCTCTCCCCTCCCCCATGGAGTTCTGTATACCCGTGCCACCTTGCAAATTAGAAAAGAGTACCTGCCGAAACCGGTTTGGCTCAGTGGATAGAGTGTTGGCCAGTGGACTGAAAGGTCCTGGGTTCGATTTCAATCAAGGGCATGTACCTTGGTTGCGGGCACATCCCCAGGAAGTGTTGTGCAGGAGGCAACTGATTGATGTTTCTCTCTCATAGATGTTTCTAGCTCTCTATCCCTCTCTCTTCCTCTCTGTACAAAATCAATAAAATATATTAAAAACAAGAAAAGAAAAAGAAAAGGGTACCTGCTCTGGCTGCTGTGGTCGGGTATCATCCTGAGGACCAAAAGGTGTTGGTTCAATTTCCAGTCAGGGCACATACCCAGGTAGGAGGTATGCTGGAGGCAGCCAATCCATTTTTATCTCTTCCTCTCCCCTCCTCTCTAAAAATCAATTAAAACATATATATTTTAAAAAGGTACATATCCACCCACACCCACAGGCAAGGTAGAATCAACCAAGGGCAATGGTTTGGGGGGCAGAATGCTTATGGAATTCAGTCGCCTCATACTCATTCCATGCACTGATATACAGTGCAACTCTGGGACACAAAGCTAGTGAACATGTACAGTTGTACAGCTGGCCATCAGTATCTTTCAGTTCCACATAGGAGGATTCAACCAACCGTGACTGGAAAATAGTTGGGAATAAAAGCGTTATGTTGTTGCCCTAACTGGTTTGGCTCAGTGGATAGAGCGTCAGCCTGTGGACTGAAAAGTCCCAGGTTTAATTCCGGTTAAGGGCATGTACCTTGGTTGCAGGCACATCCCCAGTAGGAGGCAACTGATCAATGTTTCTCTCTCATTGATGTTTCTAACTCTCTATCCTTCTCCCTTCCTCTTTGTAAAAAATCAAAAAATATATATATTTATTTAAATGTTATGTTGTTGCTGATGTGTTATATGTAGCCAGGCCTACAATGGTTGGCTCTGTACTATTATAAATATGTAAAACTTCTTGTCACTATTCCATAAACAATCCATCATGACAACTAGCTATATAGCATTTACATTGTATTAGGTGTTATAAGTAATCTAGAGATGATTTAAAGCATATGGAAGGATATGCATGATTATAGGCAATTACTACCCTATTTTATATAAGGGATTTTAGCATCCTTGGATTTTGGTATCCATAGGAATCCTGGAACCAATCCCTCACAGATACTGAGGGCTGACTGATTGGTAGTAGTGTAAAATTAGAAGACCATAATTATGTCTTGACGTGGGTTCCTCTGAGGTATAGCTATGCATGAACACATGCTAAAATACTACAGTTTGAGACCCTTAAAAGAAAGGAGTTTGCATGTTGCAAAGCAGTGAAAGTATTCCATTTGCAAGGTCACAAAAATTTGCTTAGAGGTCAAATTAAATGTTTACCATTGAGAACCACCAAAGAAAAGTTAAACCATCTTATTAAGAAAGAGGAAGTAGTTTTTTCCCCCTACCATTCCAAATGACAGATAATGTAAAAAAAAAAAAAAAAAAAAAAAAATAAAATAATATTTTAAAAAACTGCTCTTCTTCTCCTTATTGAGTGACCTTCAGCAAGTTACTTAATATATCCGAGCACCTCTGAACCTCCGTGTACCCATCTGTAAAATGGAGTTAATAGTAGCATTGGCATCTTAAGGCTGGTGTGATAATTAAATGAGCTGAGACACTTAAAATACTCAGGACAGCAGTTGGCATATAATAAAAGCTCAATAAATACTACCTCTCTTTAGGATAAATATTATCACCCCCACTTTAGACACGAGGAAACAGAAGCTCAGAGAAATGAAATGACTCGTCACCCCTACATACAGCAGAGACCAGACTCCAATCTAGACCTTTCAACTTTGAGTATACCTTTTGGCCCATATAGTAATCATTCAGCAAACATGCTGCCTGACCCTTTCCACCACCCCACATTGTTCTGGGGGTACAGAACCTGTAATAGACATTTCAAAAGAGACAGTCCCTACTCTCCAGATAATAATGATCTCATTGAAGAAAACTAGATTTTTTTTTTAAATCCTCAAATACAAAAAAAAAAAAGTTAATAATATTATTATTCAGTATATAAATCCTAGGTCCATACAAAAGCAGAAAGGCGAGAGATCAATCACTAGAATCCAGAGCAGTGAAAGAGGGCTTTTGAGAGACATGACATGCAGTTGGAATATGAGGTACTGAAGGTGGGGGGAGGGCCCCTCTCTCTTCAGTGGTTCAGCGTCATCAGCGAAGCCATTTGACCTTCACAGCTGATGAGGGAAGCCCTCCCTGCAGAAATATGGTCAACGTCTTTCTCTGGGAACTCCTCCTCTTCTCCAAGTGCCAGAAACCTCCGCCAAGAAAGGAGCATGAAGAGGCGACACAGCCCTGTAGGAAATACAGGGGCATGAGTCCAAGAGGCAGTTCCACTGGCTTGTTTTGTTATTGTCTGAATCACCCAAATCTCTAAATAAGCCGGAACGTCAGAGAGAAATGAGTCCCGCTGTTGTGTATGTAATGCTCTTGCAAATGGGATTTTTACAGTTATTTTTAGCATGGTGCCTCATGGCAACGTATCCTGGCCTGAGGAAAGGGTTGAGGAATTGATCCTTCAGTTGTGACAAAAGCCAGAGTGAAGTAAAAATTAAAAAGCCATGCACTCTTGGACCTCCTACCAAGAACATTAGGAAATCTACTACATGTTCCTTCAGAGTACAGGCCAAAGCCCAGAGGATATCAGGCTCAGCCAGTCACTTCCTTTGCTTTAGAGACATTTTAAAAGAGGCAGCCCACCTGAGAGGTTTTGCATCATATTTATGTTATATTTGCATGTGGAGTAGACTTTGTTTGAAAATGAGCTTCTGTTCTCCTCTTTAAAATTTTTATTGCCGAAACCAGTTTGGCTTAGTGGATAGAGCATCGGCCTGCGGACTCAAGGGCATGTACCTTGGTTGCGGGCACATCCCCAGGAAGGGGTGTGCAGGAGGCAGCTGATCGATGTTTCTCTCTCATTCATGTTTCTAACGCTCTATTCCTCTCCCTTCCTCTCTCCTGTCCTCCTTGGTCTATAGCAGGAACACCCCTCAGCAGCAGGCAGACATGGCGGTGGGTCAGGACACCCTGCTTCCTGGGGAAACCTGGTTTGTCATCTACCACTGATTTGAATCACAGAACCTTTCCATTCTTCAGCCAGAGCAACCTCTGTGCCATACGCTTCTCATAAAAGGTACCAAGTTTGGTCTATCATCCACGTCAATGGGTTTCTGGCAGCCAGTGGCTGGGAAAGAGCGGTTCAGCTTCTTCCTGAAGCGGCCAGCCATCTCCGAGGCCCCCTGACAAAGAGCAACTTGGCGTTGTTCTAAGAACTTAAACCTGCTCTAAAAAAAATAGTCTCTTGAGAAGAAAAACAAATGAACAAAAAGTACCAGTTACACAAGAAACAAGCAAAAATATAATTAATTTTGCCATCTTGTTTTCTCAGCTTCTCCTTTACCCAGTCTCATGGAATCATTAATATAGAGTCCAATGGAACTTATCAGGTAATAGAAACTAGATAGAAAATCAATGTTTATTGAGAACCTACTAAGTGCTAAAAAGCTTTACATACATTATTTCTTTTAATCGTCATTATTTCCCCCGTTTTACAGGTGAGGAAAAGGAAGCTTAAAACTAGTAAGAAGCAGCCAAAACCGGTTTGGCTCAGTGGTAGAGCATTGGTCTGTGGACTGAAAGGTTCCAGGTTCGATTCAGATCAGGGGCATGTACGTTGCAGGCACATCCCCGGTGGGAGGTGTGCAAGAGGCAGCTGGTCGATGTTTCTCTGTCATCGATGTTTCTAGCTCTCTATCTCTCTCCCTTCCTCTCTGTAAAAAATCAATAAAAATATATTTTTTAAAAAACCAAAAACTAGTAAGAAGCAGATTCAAAATCTTAACCCAGGTATGCAGGATTCCACTGATTTCCAGAAAACCCTTTTCTTGTTCACTCTTAGTGTTTGCACATTCCTTAGGATAATCATTTTTTAAAAGCACACATTCCTCTAGTTCCTTAGCTCTCTCATGCACATCATCTGACAAGAGAAGGTATCATTTACCAAAAATCTTGTTTATATAGCTAGTAAGTACAGGGATGAGATTTAAATACACATCCTCTGCCACGCTGGAAAAAACAATAATTATGAGAGAAATAAGAATCTCAGAGAAAATGAAAGTTTATTGGCTATAATTAATAAAATTCTAGCTGAGACAGGTTTGGCTCAGTGGATGGAGCGTTGGCATGTGGACTGAGGGGGTCCTGGGTTTGATTCTGGTCAGGGGTATGTACCTTGTTTGCGGGCACATCCCCAGTAGGGGGTGTGCTGATTGATGTTTCTCTCTCATCGATGTTTCTAAATCTCTGTCCCTCTCTGTAAAAAATCAATAAAATATATATTTTTTTAAAAAACTAAATTATGTAGGTCAGGAATCTTCACCTAAGAATTACAGAATTTTAAGGAACAGAATTATAGAATCTTAGAATTGCATAGAATTTTAGAATTTTAAGGAACAGGAATAATTGATTATATGTATATGCACACAGAGACATAGACATACATATTACAGACAGAGAACCATAGAATGTAAGGAATGGAAGAAACTGTAAATGAGTAAACTTCAGACCCACACATCGGTGGCCATATGAAAATGTGTGCCCAAGGGTCCTAATTCCCAGGCAAGTACTCAATCCAGGATTAAGGAATTATGTGGTTTTCTTCAGCATTTCAAGTCTCCGGTCAAGATCTTCAAAATCAATTTCCTCAGAATCATAAGGGTCAATGGAAAGACTTGCTTGAGGTTTTACATCAGGCAAATCAGGCAGCATGAAGTCATCAAAACCAATCTTGGCTCTTGATGCTGGCTTTGGAGAAGTTTGAGGGTTGAATCCTGGACCTGTTCATTTAAAAAAAAAAAAAAGTAATTAAAAATTACAACAATAGTCTCCCCCCCGCCTCCACCCCCATGAAATCTCAGCCTCAAAGACAGTAGGCTATTACTGCTTTTGAAAGAACAGTATATCATAGGAGTATATCATAGGCTGGGAAACCAGGCAATACCCCCAACATGGAAATGGTGGTATAATGGTTACACTGTGTTGGCAATCTTCTCAAAGAGCAATTGAGATTTTTTTTTTAAGGCACAATTTTTCAAAACATGTGACAAGATGATCTAGTATAGTAGTGGTTTTAAAACGTTATCTGTAGTAAAGATCTGTTTGCGATCCATATCCACTTTGAAAATTGTTAACTACTGTAAGGGAACATTCTGTACTCTGGGCAAATCACTAGTAAACGTCTCTTATAACAACTGAAATAGCTTCCATGAGTAGCAAGCAATTCCAGCTACTCCCAGGATTCCCTATACTTACCAGGAACCAGCGCAGGATGCAAATCATTCTTAAAGGAATCGTCCTGAAAGAAAAGAAAGATCTCTGGGAAGCAACTGACTTGAGTTCCAAGCACATAGTTTGTTCATAGTAAGCCTTCAGTAAATATTTCTTAAAACTAACTTAAGTGAACTTTATCACAAACACGCTGCCTTCTTGTTTGAGGCAAAGTGTTCTGATGCCTTCTGGAAATCAGCCTTAGGAGTGACCATAGTTTTTCCTTCTTCTGTCACCTGTGGCCTCATACAAGAACGGGGAAGTCTTTTATCTTCCAGTCTAGAGATGCTGCTTGCGAAGAATGATTCAGTTTAATAAAACCAGAGGGTTTTTTCTCAAAAAAAAAAAAAAAATAGCACAAAAAAAGGGAGAAGTGGGAAAATGGAAGTATTAGAGATTTTTAAAAAATTAAAGAGACATATCAACTGAACATAATGTGTGGATCTTTTTGGATCTTGATTTCAACAAAATAACTGTAAAAATGCATTTTTGAGACAATCAGAGAAATTTAATATGGATTGAGTATTATATGATACTAAGGAATTGTTTTTCATTGTGTTAGCTTTCATAATGACATTGTTTTATATTATAGAAACAAAGGGTTCGCCCTAACTGGTTTGGCTCAGTGGATAGAATGTTGGCCTGGGGAATGAAGGGTCCCGGGTTCAATTCTGGTCAAGGGCACATGCTCTGGTTGTGGGCTCGATCCCCAGGGTGGGGCGTGCAAGAGGCAGCCTATCAATGATTCTCTCACCATTGATGCTTCTATCTCTCCCTCTCCCTCCCCTTCTCCCTCTCTCTTTCTTTTCCTCTCTTAAATCTATAAAACTATATTTAAAAAACAACAAAGAGTTCATGTCATAAATATATATTAAACTCGCAGGCGTCTTCAAACTACGGCCCGCAGGCCACATGCGGCCCGCAGAGGAGTCTGATCCGGCCTGCCAGGTTTTTTGGGCAGTAAGTGCAGCCAAGGTGTTACAGTAGGAATTAGTAGTTCATATAGTCCGGCCCTCCAGCTCTCTGAGGGACCGTGATCTGGCCCCCACTTTAAAAAGTTTGAGGACCCCTGTAAGTATTTACAGGTAAAATTATGTAGTGCCTAAGATTTGCTTTAAATTCCTTCTCTCTTAGGAAGAAATAGGTAGATGAAATAAAAGCAGTAGAATGTTGATAACTGTGGAAAATGAGTGATGACTACACAAAAATTCAGTATATTGTTCTCTCTAATTACGAATATGTTTAAATTTTCCATAAAGTTTTCTTCCTTTTATTCTTTTTTTTTTTTAACAGAGATGTTATTCTTAAAAATACAGCTAAAGAAGACAGAGCTGTATTTTATTTGTAATAAGATTTCCAATACATGTACTTATTATTTTAGGCCAATTTTCCCAACCCCCAACTTTGGTGATACTGTCCTATTACCACACAGTGCCAAGAAAAACAAATAAACACATTAGTATAATGTTTAGAATCATTATTAGCAGGAACTGGTAGTTACACTGACCTAGGATAGAATGATGCACCTCAGTAGCTTCTGAGGCTAATGCATTCCTTTAGCAAACCTAGTTCCCTTCACTTCTGTAACGTCATGCAGAGTTAGTAATTCTTTGTTTTATTCTTAAATCAGAGGACTTGTGCCCTGGCAGGTGTTGCCAAGTGGTTAGACCCACAAACCAAAGGTTGCAGGTTCCATCCCTGGTTGAAGCTCATGTGGGAGGCAACCAATCCATGTATCTCTTTCACATGAATGTTTTTCTCTCTCTCTCTCTCTCCCTTCTTCCCTCCCTCCCTCTCTTTCTAAAAATCAAAGGAAAAAATATCCTTGGGTGAGGTTTAACACACACACATACACACGCACACACACACACAATCAGAGGACTTGCACTCCAAAAGTAGAAGCTGAGCAATACACAGGTGTTAATTCAGACATATACAGGCAGTCCTCGGGTTTCGTCAGAGATTCATGCAACGAGATTTTCACCGTAAGTTGGAACCCACCTACATAAGCACCTATGTCACTCACATGGAGCACATACACAGCAGTGAAAAACAGTTAAATAAATAAATAAATAAATAAATAAATAAATAAATAAAATTTTTAAAAATTGAAAGAAAGATAACAATCCCTGACCTTTACTTGTGGTAAATAAATAATAATAAAAAAATCATAAAGCACATAGGTACATATGTCAAAATGACCGAACTTTTTTTTGTTAATATAAGTAAATGGGAGATGGCGACATATGTTGAGTCTGACGTAAGCCGAGGACTGCCTGTAATTTCAACAAGGAGTTAAATTATGCCTAAAATATAAAATCTCAAAAACAGCTCCATGGGGCCAGAGATGAAATAATAAAACAATTTCTTTTTACTTCGCCCTGAAGGAACAACAAGGGAAGAAAATTAATGCCTGTGGCTCTTTATTTTTTGCTTTATTTGACTTCTCTAAATTTGTATATACACACAGTTATGAGATTTTTTATCCTATTTTCATCATAAGAGTAAATGGTTTTCACCACATATAAATTGAATACATCTATTCTGAAATTTGAGTCTAAACCACTGTACATTAAAGACTTGCACATCTGTCGGGCTCATACAAATGTTCTTTGCAGTATGCACTGTAGTATTGTCCAAAGATGTATGTGGCCCTATTTTCTCATGAATTCAGCACAAAAACACATTCAATATAAGCCAACTAATTGCCTTAAAAACCTCAGAGATCATTTCACCACTCAAAAGGCCCATTTAGAAATATACCCTGGCAGCACATCCTCTCCTTTCAGATTCAGCTTCCTTATCCGTACTGACCTGCCTTTCAGGAGGAAGGGATGAGAAACGAGGGGCTGGGGTCGGCACAGGTAAAGGCTCCGGTGCAGATGTTGGTGATGCCCAGACTGGATCACCAGGTCCGGTTCCAGTTCCCTCTCCGCTGTCAGGGGCATCTTTCTTGACCTCGTCTGTAAATCCAACAACAACCAGATCTGCCGGGGCTTCAGCCTGAAGCAAGAGGGTGAGAATAACATCGGGTCCTCCATTTATTACACATTTATTTATTGCGTACCTACTACAGGCCAGACTCTCTCAGAAAACACTGGGGAAGAAACAGTGAGCAAAGAGACATGGTCCCTGCCCTCATGAAGCAGAGTCTAGTGCTGAGACTGATTTGGCTCAGTGGATAGAGCATCGGCTTGGGGACTGAAGGGTCCCGGGTTCGATTCCGGTCAAGGGCATGTACCTTGGTTGCGGGCATATCCCCAGTAGGGGATGTGCAAGAGGCGGCTGATCGATGACTCTCTCTCATCGATGTTTCTACCTCTCTGCCTCTCTCCCTTCCTATCTGTACAAAATCAATAAAATATATTTTTTTAAAAGATTTCTTTAAAAATAAAATAAAATATATTTTAAAAAAAAGATAAAAGGGGAGAAAATTTAAAAAAAAAGAAAAAAGAAGAAAAAGAAACAGTCTAGTGTAAGTCAGGAGCAACTAACAGAAACCTCAGGCTTTTGGCTCACACAACTTCTTTCCCTCTGTTTCAATGACTATGTTTTGAGGACCTATGAGGTCAGGCACTGTGGTACACCAGTGATGCAGAGCTAACCATATTGATGTCTACAAGAAAGTATAGCAAATCTTTTCAGGGATAAACTCTTATAAACCAGGCAGAGTACTGGGGATGCCATGATGAACACAACAGACAAATGTCCCTGCCCTCCTGCAGCTGATGATATTTCAGTGGGAGAGACAGATGATAAACAAAATCACAGGAGTGCTAGAGAAAACATATAGAGCAGGGAAGAGGGAAGAGGTGGACATTTTAGAGAAGGTAGCTAATAAGGGCATCACACTGAGAATGGGTGTGGGCAGCCTCTTCAGTCCTAGGAAAGCCATTGTCTATCATTCTAAGTGAAATAAAAAGCTACGGGGGGATTTAAAAGCAGAGATGTGACATACTCTGACTTGGGTACTAACCAGATCTCTGAAGGCTGTATTGAACATCAGTTAATGAAGAAGAGGAGTAAAGAAGCAGGAAAACCAGTTAAGATGCTCTTGTAATCCTCCAGGGAAGAGGTTAGTGCATGTTATAGTGGAAATGGTGAGAAGGGGCAGGATGCTGCCTATCTTTAGAAGGTAGAATAACCAGGGCTTGATGAAGATTGGTTGGGGGCTAGCAGTTGAGAGAAAGAGGGGAGTCAAGAGATATCAAGATTTTTTTGCCCTAGAATAGCATCCCCGTGCACTGTAGAATGAATGGGTCCTCGCAAGGGATGAGAGCACATGTTAAGTTTGAGACGCCTTGAAATATTTGAGTAAAGATGTGTATGTCAAGAAAGTGGGCCCAGACCGGCTTGGCTCAGTGGGTAGAGCTTTGGCCTGCAGACTGAAGGATCCTGGGTTTGATTCCAGTCAAGGGCATGTACTTTGGTTGCAGGCACATCCCCAGTTAGGCAGCTGATCGATATTTCTCTCTCATCGATGTTTCTAACTTTCTATCCCACCCCCCCTTCTTCTCTGTAAAAAAAAAAAAAAAAAATCAATAAAATATATTTTTTAAAAAGAAAGTGGGTGGGTATACAAGGATGGGGTTCATACCAGCCTAGGGGCCTTAGCGAGTGATATATGAGTAGAAGTCCTCACCATTAAGATGGTTTTGAAATCCAGGATGCCAGATAAAATCAACCAGAGAGTAGGGAAGAGAGACAAGAGGTCCAAGGTTGAGCCCCTGGGCACATCTCTAGCCGCATTTCATGTAGCTTTCACTTCCTCACAGTTCCTTTCGGTGTTATCTATATTTTTACAATGAATCTTTTTTTTTTTTTTTCAAAGAACCATAAAACTCTTTGAAAGAGGGGAAAGATGGGTAAAAGAGTCCCTATCAGGAAACCATCAGGAGCAAAGCATCAGACAAGACAAGAGTGCCCTTTAACCACAGCCCAGCAGGATGCATGCTGCTCAATCGGAAGGCGGAGGAAGGAACATACTTCGCTTGTGGCTTCGTGCCTGCACGAAGCACAAGTTTGGCGCCTGAGGACAAGGCTCTCCTTTATAAAGTTGCCACAGACAATTTTTATCAATGGCTAAAATAAGTCACTTCCCAGATGAGGTGATTTGAAAGGCATTAGGGTGAAATCCCTCTGGCCTTAAAGCAGCCCATAACCACCTGGTGGAAGCTTAATCCACCTTCTGGGATAATCATGATGATGATAAAATGCAAAAATTTGATTACTTTCGTGACGGGCCAGGCATTGCAGTTAAATCCCTTGTACGTATTAACTCATGTAATCATTTTGACAAACTTATGAGATTTGTTTATAACGATTAACTGTTATTATCTCTCTTCTTACAGTCCAGAGAACTGAGTCTTTGAGAGGATAAGTGACTTGTCTGAGGTCTCACAATTAATAAATGGTGGAGCTAGGATCGGAACATGGGTCATTTTACTCCTGACCTCATACTCTTTTTTTTTTTTTAATCTTTATTATTGAAAGTATTATATATGTCCCTTTGGGGGATGGGAAAGGGCAATGGGAAACTCACACTCTTAACCAAGACTGAATGATAGTACCCTGTGCCTTTGGATTTTGTAGCCGTTATTCCAGATCTTTAATAAAGATCTCTTGACCTGGTTGGTGTGGCTCAGTCGGATGAGTGTCATCCCATGCACCAAAGGTCGCCAGTTTAGTTCCCCATCAGGGCACATATTCAGGCTTTTTGGATTGATCCCCAGTTGGAGTGTGTGTGCAGGAGGCAACCGATTTATGGTTCTCTCTCTCTCCTTCTCTCTTCCGATCTCTAAAATCAATAAAAACCTTTTTTTTTTTTAAAAATAAAGATCCCTTTATTAAAATGTGACCTATCCCCAGTACAAAGTTGAGATCTTAAAAACTAAAAATATCTTGCACACTTCGAATATAGCATTCATCTTTGCTTTCCATTCCATTGTTAACTACTTAGAAGGGTCATCTGATGGCTATCAGAAGTCAAACTCTGTTAAGAAAAGTATGTGGGCGGAGAAAAGGTACAAATTTCACCTGATTTACAATCCTGAGAGCCACATTCATAAGAAGAAGAAAAAAAATCTTCCAGTGCACAATAAAAGCCTCAGGTTTAAATCCATGCCCCCTTCTTGAAAGTACTCACCGGAATGGTTGCCTTGGATTTATATGGCACATTATAGCTCTTAGCGATTTCTATCAGATACTGTTCCACTAAAACCTGGGGTAGACTGTTCATATTTAATTTACATATTAGCTGCAAAACAAAGAACATAACAAGAGTTGGTCACACGCACACACACACCTACAAAATAAGAGACAAAAAAAAAGTTTAGGTGACCTTTCACCTCTGCATCATTGCTCTTCCTCTTTCTAGTCACTGTTATTTAAGATGGATGATTTAAAAAAGAAATATAACTTAGCGCCCTGGTCGATGTGTCTCAATTGACTAGAGCATCTTCCCGTGCAAAGAAGGGTCTAGGGTTTGATTTCTGGTCAGGGCATGTGCCCAGGTTGTGGGTTCGATCCCCCATCGGAGCACATATGGGAATCAACTAGTCAATGTTTCTCTCTCACATCTCTCTCCCTCTCCCTTCCTCCTTCTCTATAATCATTGAAAAACACATCCTCCGGTGAGGATTTTTTTAAAAAAAGATATATAATTTAGCAACAACAAGGAGAGGCCCTCCTTATAAGACAGCCCTTTCCTGAGGTGAAGGAGCCTCAAACCAAGTAGAATAAAAGAAAAAAAATAGACCAAAACCTTGTGAATCAAGAATTCTGATTTTATGGCTAGTATTTGAATTATGTCAGAGGTAATAGTCACCATACAGCAAGATACTAAGGAATCAGAATGGATACCCTGAGTGAGGAGAATGTCTAACCACCTGAAACAAGTACTCCAGCCAGAGTCCTGTGTCCAGCTGAATGTGAGTCCTGAATTATGTAAGATGTTCAGAATTTGAAACTTGAAAGTTTCAATAACTTATTTTGTATTACTAGGCCAGTTACATTTAGGAAAATGAATGTTTTCTTTCTTTTCTTTTCTTTCAGCCTTGTCAAAACAAGGCGCCAAAAATTTGGTTGTCTCAAAAAAAAAAAAAATTGGGAGAGAGAGAGAAAGAGAAGACGAATGAATGTTTTCTTTTCTTTTCTTTTTTAAATATATATATATATATATATATATATGTATTATTGATTTATTGATTTATTGATTTATTGATTTATTGATTTATTGATTTTTACAGAGAGGAAGAGAGAGGGATAGAAAGTTAGAAACATCGATCAGCTGCCTCCTGCACACTCCCTATTGGGGATGTGCCCACAATCAAGGTACATGCCCTTGACAGGAATCAAACCCAGGACCTTTCAGTCCGCAGGCCAACGCTTTATCCATTGAGCCAAACCGGTGTCGGCATGTATGTTTTCTTATGAAAGAATTAGCCCAGGTATGGCTCAGTGGCTGAGCATCAACCTAAGAATCAGGACGTCACGAGTTCAATTCCTAGTCAGGGGACATGCCCAGGTTTCAGGGCTCCACCCCCTGTAGGGGGCGTGAAGGAGGCAGCCGATCAATGATTCTCTCTCATTATTGATGTTTCTCTCTCTCCTTCTCTCTTTTTCTCTGAAGTCAATAAAAAGATATTTTAAAAAATAAAGAGTCATCTCAGTTTTATTGACTCTAGTTTTTGTTCTGTTTTTCATCCTCACCCGAGGAGTGAGAATATTTCTTCCATTGATTTTTAGAGACAGTGGAAGGAAAGGAGAAGGAGGGAAGAGAGCGAGAAACATTGAAGTGAGAGAGACACATTGATTATTTGCCTGCCGCACACTTCCTGGGGCTCCCTGGGGATTGAACGTGCAACCGAGGTACATGCCCTTAACAGGGAATTGAACCCTTCGGTACACAGGTTGTCTCTCTAACCACTTAGAAAACTGGCCAGAGCTGCTCTAATTTTTCTTAACTGAGGTAACATTGGTTTCTAACATTATATACCGTATTTTTCGGACCATAAGACACACCGGACCATAAGACGCACCAGTTTTTAGAGAAGGGAAATGAAGAAAAAAAGATTCTGAAACAAATAGTGTCCTAAAATATTTTATGTGCATTAAAACCCAACATCACAGTCATAAACACATGTAATCAACCCTGTAAAGTAAACAGCAGCATTTAGAACCATTTTAGAGCCGGGCAAGCACACAGAGACCACACAGAGCCGGGCAAGTAAAAAAGCTTTTTTTTTTTTAAAGTATATGTGTAGGCTATATTTGGACCATAAGACGCAGGGACTTTCCCCCCCCACTTCTGGGGGGAAAAAAGTGCGTCTTATGGTCCGAAAAATACGGTAAGTTTCACGTTTAGAACATTAAAAAACAATATCTGTGTACATTATGGGATGCTGACGACCAAAAATCTAGCTTCTATCTGTCACCATATATTTGACCCCCTTTAAAAGATCTGAGTGCCCCCCCCAAAAAAAAATTTGAGTTCCCTAATCCAAGATTTTTATTCAAGTTCCTCTGCCTTCAATGCAAAAATTACTTCTTTACATCTTTCACTCTACACAGAATTATGTGCCCTGACTTTGCTCAGCTTTTCCCTGACTTCTTGGTTTAGGAAAGTGTGTCTGTCTGTGGAAGTGATACTACCCGAGAGCTGACAGTTCCAATCTCAGCGGTTCGGCACAGTTGACCATACTCTTGGCTGTACTTTGCACACAGCTGATTAGATACCTGCAGCAAACCATCACCAAGAAAGAAAGAAAGGCAAAATGCGTCAAGTTGTGGCAGATTTGCTTTCAATAAAGAACAACCGAAAGAGCAAAAAGCACTTTCATGTTACCTCACTGGAATTATGTTCTTTTAGCATCAAACAGCAATAACAAAATAAGCACTTTGCGTCCTAGCTGGTTTGGATAGAGCATCAGCCTGCGGACCACAGGGTCCCGGGTTTGATTCTGGTCAAGGGTCGTACCTCAGTTATGGGTCCAGGAGGCAACCCATTGATGCATTTCTCTCACATAATATTTCTCTCTGTCTTTCCCTCTCTCTGAAAATCAATGAAAAAAATATCCTCAGGTGAGGATTAAAAAAACAATAATAAAGGAAAATAAGCACTTTGCTTTGTTTTTAAGAATCTGATTAATCTCTCACTGAAGCCGGTTTGGCTCAGGGGTTGAGCGTCGGTCTGCGGACTGAAAGGTCCCGGGTTTGATTCCGGTCAAGGGCATGTACTTTGGTTGTGGACACATTCCCGGTGGGGGGTGTGCCTCTTGCACGTTGACGTTTCTAGCTCTCTATCTCTCTCCCTTCCTCTCTGTAAAAAAATCAATAAAATATATATTTTTAAAAAAGAATCTGATTAACCTCTAATTCTAAACACCTATGAATTATGACACCATTTCCCCTACCGAAGAAACTCGGGTTCAATTTTTATTTTTTAGGCAATGTTTCAAGTTTTATTTTTTAGGCAAGGTCCCCCCCCCCCCCCCCTGCATCGTCATCAAAAACAGTATTTATTTTTCACTTAAAGACTAACAGGAGAAAATACTTTAGGAGGGGGTTATTCTTTAAGAGAAGATAGGACTCCCCAAGTCCAAATGAGGAACATTAGTGATACTCTCACAACCATGGCACTGGTTAAAACTCATCAAACTTACTATTTTCAGCTCAGGCACCTCTGACTGGAGCCTAGGAGCTGCCCAGATTAGTGTAGACACAGATTCAGCCAGACCAGAATCCAGTTCCCTAAGGGAAGCACAAAATCATGAAACTCAGGGCTTTCTGTTTCCCGCTTTTCACTGCTTCAAGGGTAGTCCATGCACAAAGTTCAAAATATAATGTTATAATAACATTTTTAAACTGAAATTAGAATATGAACTTCTATGTACATATATGTATGTAAAAGTACATAATACACATACTTGTGTTTATACACACATCTATATGTATAAAACCCTAATATGCAAATAGACCCAACAGTGGAACAACCAAACAACTGGTTGCTATGATGTGTACTGACCACGAGGGGGCGCATGTGAAACATGGCAGGCATCAGCTGCAGTGGGATGGTGGAGCAGGTGAGCAGGGATGCCAGACCAAGGTGGGGCACTGGTCAATGTCATCGGGGTGAGCCTCTGGTGGTTACTGAAAATTCTTTGCACCTGAGCACCACAGTCTGGCTGGGCACTCGCACCTGCTGCTGGTGCCGGCCCCACTTGAACTCACTGCCGGCACCAGAGCCACCACTCACACCTGCTGCCAACAATGGCCCCGTTCACACTCACTGCCAGTGCTGGCCCCACTCACACCCGCTGCTGGCACCCAGAACCAGTCCTGATTGCTCAGTGCAGTCAGTGGGTGTGAGTGGCAGCTGCTGGCACTGACACCCCTGAGGGCATCTCCACTCCCCCTACTCCTAAGGGGTGATTGGGGTAGCAGCTGCCACTAGCACCCACTGCTGGCACTGGCCCCAATCACTCCTCGCCATTAGGGGTTGCAAGCAGGGCAGGTGCCATCAGCACATGGGAGCGGTGGCAGCAGGAGCTGGTCTGCCCACAGAGAGAGGACCAGGGGCCGTGGAGGATGGGCCAAAACTCACCCCTGTGCCCACTGCAGCCTTGCGTTCCACAGTTCCTTTCAAGGTGCACAAATTCATGCACTGGCCCTCTAATAGATACATATAAGTATACATATATAAACTGAAAGGAAATATACAAAAATCCTAATCTCCAGATTTGGTGATCACAGATTCCTTTTGGCTGTAATTTCCCAACTTTTCTACTACAGGTTTATACTATATTTTTACAGCCGAGGGGGAGAAAGGACATCTATTTGGGTTATTTTTAAATGGCTCTTTGGGCCCTGGCCGGTTTGGCTCAGCGGATAGAGCGTCGGCCTATGGATTGAAGGGTCCCAGGTTCGATTCCAGTCAAGGGCATATGCCCAGGTTGTGGGCTCAATCCTCCGTGTGGGACATGCAGGAGGCAGCTGATCAATGCTTCTCTCTCATCATTGGTGTTTCTATCTCTTTCTTCCTCTCCCTTTCTCTCTGAAATCAATAAAAATATTTAAATAAGTACATAAACAAACAAATGGCTCTTTGGACTGACCTATTCTTTTTAAGCAGAGACAACAGTTCTTTGACACAGCCCCAAAAACGTTTGAGCCAGGGGGGCCAGGGATGCATTGTCACTCCTTTGAGCCTGAGAAACAATGCAAGTTCAATAGGTCTCACTTTGTGGCCTGGATCAAGCCAAACCGGGCCAGCAGCAGGCCACAGTGCAGCTCCAGAATCTCCATGGCTTCCACCAGGTAGTCTTCCCGTATAATGTGCTCCACTCGGATCCGAGCTCGTTCATCTTTCCCAGCAGCCAGATAGTCCGCAATCTCTTTCCTTGCTTTCTGGGCCTGCTCAGCTGCAGCATAGAGCACACATAGAGAAATATGAAATGTGTGTTCAGATAAGTGCTAAGCTGCTGTTACACCAATCGTAATATCGACAAACATTTATTTTTAAAATATATTTTATCGATTTTTTTTTTTTTTTTAACAGAGAGGAAGAGAGAGGGATAGTTAGAAACATCGATGAGAGAGAATCATGGATCAGCTGCCTCTTGCACATCCCCCCACTGAGGATGTGCCCGCAACCAAGGAATTGATTTGCCCTTGACTGGAATCGAACCCCGGACCTTTCAGTCCGCAGGCCTACGCTCTATCCACTGAGCCAAACCGGCTTCGGCGACAAACATTTATTGTGTGTCCAGCTTGTATTGCAAATAAAACCCTGGAAGGTCGCCGAAACCGGTTTGGCTCAGTGGATAGAGCTTTGGCCTGCGGACTAAGAGAATCCTGGAAGGTCAAGATTATTATATCCTTTAAAAAAAAGAATCAATTTAGCCCGGCTGTTGTGGCTCAGTGGTTAAGCTTTCATGGTTGGATTCCTGGTCAGGGTACTATATGCCTGGGTTGCAGGCTCGATCCCCAGTGATACATCTTGAAAAACCAAGATAGCGATATCGATACAGTCAAGATACAGAGCTGTCGCTGGAAATGTCTAAGTGATTTGATCATTGTAATAATCGTTCCCACATTCGGCCCAGTCAGAAACGTTATTTTAATTCCAAAGTTGGTGGCAGCTCTTTCTCTGGGGAGCGCTTCCCCTCACTCCTCCCCTGTGTGTTTCCCTTTCCCCTAAGCTGCCAGGGCCCTTCCTTTGCCTCTGCAACTTGTTCCCGAGTCCATTTCTTTACACCTCTGCCTCTGTAACTTTCTAAATAAACTTTCTCTTATCGTTTGAAAAGAAATAAATTCCAACGTTGGTTCGGTAGGCCTTAGGAGGTACAGCAGCCAGCGCGTTGGAGTTGAGGGGAGATTGCACAGTGATCTGAGAGGCAGCTGGCTGGCCTGCCTGGAGCATTACTCACTTTTCTTTCTTTCCAGGAGTTTCAGCCGATTGACAACCAGTTGCAAGTTGACCCGAAGTCGATCAGCTTTGAAGACAGAGCTGAACATGATTTCCCCACAAGGCACCGCAGCTCTGAGCAAGTTCCCCAGAGAAAGAGAGAGTTTTATCAGTGCCAGGGGAGCTCCAGTGTCTCAACATCCACTTCATTCATTCAACACCCCCCCCCCCCCCCCCCCTGGAATGAATTCCTGACTGCTCAGTCATGGCCTGGCTTCCCTTCCCTCTCTGTGGACCAATACCACAGACATGACTCTTGCAATTCAAATAGGGGTTAAGTTTCCTCCAATTCATTCCAGTCGTCAGTGGTTTTGCTGAAACGTTTGAGAGGTCTGCGGGAAGTTTCTGACAGACATGCGAGTCTTTGGCAAGTGTCTAAGGAAGCAGACAACGAAGTGAGATTCCCCTCCTCACAGGACTTCTATTAGTCACTTCTGGCAAAATTGTAAGTCCTCCTTCCTAAAATAAAATATTAATGAACTGGAAAGGGAAATCCCCATTGGAAGAGATCACGTAACATGAAAAGCACATGGAAAGGAGGACATAGAATTGTTCAGAGAAGCGGGTAAAACACAAGCTTAAAACATGGCACATTTCCATATTTGGAAATCTAGAAAAGCGTTCGAAAAATATCCCAAAGCCAGGCACCCACATGTTCCTAAGGAAAGCTAGAATCGGCTAAGAATCGCAATCATTTCAATACATGCTTGAGGCTAGCTGTTGTTTTCCGCCACTGGCATTCCAAGTTGGAGCTCCTTTCCTAAAACGACACCTTTACGTGCTGAAGCATGCAAGCAGGAAGACGTGACAGTATGAAAAACGCCACCTCCTCCCCTTGTTAGGACACAGATGGTTTCCCAAGTCACAAGTACTTCTCTCTGGTTTGATCCCTTAACGTAAAAAAAAAAAAAAAAAAAAAAAAAAAAAGCCAACAACAACAGCAAAAAAAAAAAAAAAAGAACAACAACAACAACAAAAAGAGCTGGAATGATTGTCTGAGCTTTCCACGCCTGTGGTACAGGTCTAGAAAGACCACAAAGAGGAAACAGGCAACACGGGAGCTGGTTTGAAACTCCTGCCTGCTCAGGGAGAAGAACCAGCATGGCAGGGTTTGGTTGTTGTTTTCCTACCAACAGGGAAGCTCAGGCTCTCCCGTCACACAAATTCAATCTACACACACAGCAGGAATTCAAGGTGAGTCTAGGGAAAGAGAAGAGGTGGTAAAAGCATTCACATTTAATTCTTCAGTCCCCAAATGTCCCACACACCTTTAAAAAAAAAAAAATCTCCTTTCAGTTCATCCGTTCTTTAAACTCTGTGGGACAAAAAATGGTGAAATAAAATGAAAGACTCTCCGATGAGATTGAGGACAGGTAGCAAACAGGTTAACTAGGTAAGCGTACAAATGAGGAAATGGGAGCAAAGGAATTAGCAAGGAAAGTCTCTCGGTGTGAGGTATACCTTTGTGAAATTTCATTCAACAACTATCTATTGAGCCAGTTACAGTGGTTAAGACTGCAGGTTTACTTAACATAAATAACTTAATTATTCAGATATCAGAGAATAACACAGATTGTTAGAGAGATAAGGTAACTTCTGGTTATTTTAGTGTCTTAAGTCTAAAAACAAGGTTAGTTTTTATCTAATATTCCTGTTAAACGGACACTAGGGAGCTTCCTACCATCAATATGGACGACCAAAGAAATCAGGATTGCTTGGAGTGAAGATTTCTAAAACAGGATACAGCAGAGATAGGACCCACCCTTTTGCGACTGCAGCACCAAACCAGGAAATCACCTGTGTTTCACCAATCAGAACATCCTGTTTGTTTAATCAGACATGCCTTTCCACCACGTAATTATATTTATGGCTAGTAGTCAAAAAAAAATTTTTTTTTTTTTTTTTTTTGCTTGCATCTACCTGTGTCTGCTCTTTCCACTTGTCTGAAAAACAGACCTCTGGGTGTGTATCTTGATCTGGGAAAAAGGAGCTACCCTTGAATATACCCGGGTGGTTCGAGGGAGCCTGTTTTATAATCTTAATGCCAGTTTAGTGAGCTAGGCAATGAACCTAGAAACCAGAATGCCAGCTAGGGCTAAAACGGAATCACTGAGTGACCACAGCACTTCCTTGTTGGCCAAACTGAGAGAGATGACTATCATGAATAATATTAATATTCATGAGGCAAAGCCCTCTGATTTAGATGGCTACACATCAGTACCTTCACTATGTTTTATCTATGGGTGCAAGGGGTGTGTGTGTGTGTGTGTGTGTGTGTGTGTGTGTGTAGTTCAATAATTTTGATGATTCTTTGTCCCCATCGAGGTGAGAAAATATTGAAATTGAGATCTAAGGATTCCCTTGAAAGAATCTTAGAGGTCATATACTTCATTTGTATTTTTTTAACTTTATTTGTATTTTTAACTTATTTTAATATTTCTAAGGTAATATTTTCATTAAAAATCCAAACAATAACGTAAGCTCCTTCTGTTCCTTTCGACCACCATCCTAATTCCACTTTCATCTCCCAAGAAAACCAACATTAACTAGTTGTTACACATCCTTCCACTCCTATACAGATACATATGCAACTATAATGTTATATGTCTTTTAACATTAAATACATGACATTGCACTGTACACGTTTGCCTATTTTCTTAAAATGTTTAGAGCTTTTCTACATTTTACTCCCACCCTTTCATTTAAGCTTCTCATTTTGCAGAAGTGCCAACCCAAGTCAAGTAATAAAATGACTTTCCTAAGTCCAGATGGCTACCCAGTAGGGATCAGGGCACAGAGAGTACTTTTAAAATCAGCTAAAAAGCAACGATTATTTATTGAGCAAAGTTTGCAGAAACTGAAAGGGGGAAAATCCACTCAGAATCCAATGTCTCTCCAACAGTTAAACATATTTTTTTTTCTCAGTTTAGCTTGTTTTTGTCTGTAATCAGAATTATTATTATTTTTTTTACACAGATGTATTGTAATGGAAGCACAAATTCAAATGGTGTCCATTTTTCCCCCCAGTTAGTTCATCAGAAGTTCATGTTACAATGAAGTTGACTAGTAGTTAATTGTCAATGACTTGGTCAAGTCCTCTTCCACTGAACTAGGCTGCTTCCCATTGTACTAAACCCCTTCCTCTCATTTCTCACTACTTGTTTCACTTTCCCCCTAGCCTAGATCCCCTCAGAGAGGTTTCTGAATTCTTTTTTTCCTTCTTAATATATTTTTATTGATTTCAGAGAGGAATGGGGAGAGAGAGAGAGAAATAGCAATGATGAGAGAGAATCATTGATCTTGTCACCTCCTGCACGCTCCCTACTGGGGATCGAGCCCACAACCAGGTACCCTTCAGTTCAGAAAAGGCCAGGCCGTTTCTGAATTCTTAAAGAGCTCCCATCTCCGCCCTGGGTCTCCTCGGGGATGTCTTTATTCTCCTGGGCCTGGGGGCCTGGGGGGGAGGGGGAGGGCGGTTCCTGAGGTTCCCAAGAGGAAGCTTCAAAAACAGGCCCAGGCCCCAGCTGGTTTGGCTCCTTGGAGAGAAGGGTCCCGGGTTCAATTCAGGCTAAGGACACGTGCTGGGCTTGCAGGCTGGATTCCCACTGCAGGGCGTGCAGGAGACAGCCAATCAATGATTCTCTCTCATCCTTGATGTTTCTCTCTCTCTCCCTCTCCTTTCCTCTCTGAAATATATATAATATATATATATATAATTATATATATATATAATTTTATATATATATAATATTATATATATAATTATATATATATATATATATATATATATATATATATATATATATATATATATATATATATTAGCCGAAACCGGTTTGGCTCAGTGGATAGAGCGTAGACCTGCGGACTCAAGGGTCCCAGGTTCGATTCCGGTCAAGGGCATGTACCTTGGTTGCCGGCACATCCCCGGTAGGGGGGTGTGCAGCTAGTCGATGTTTCTCTCTCATTGATGTTTCTAACTCTCTGTCCCTCTCTATTCCTCTCTGTAAAAAATCAATAATATATATATGTATATATATATACACACGTATATATACATATACATATATATATACACACACACACATATATATATATATATATATATTAAAAAAAAGAAAAAAGAAAAAAAGAAAGAAAGCAGACCCAGAAAGCTCGGGATCGCCAATGGCCACCCCCCAGGGCTCAGCTTAGGAACCCCCAGACTCTACTGGAGTAGCAAGATTGCAGGGTCATTGTGGGGTCAAGCTGAGAGGGCCTGGCCCAGCCCTATCCACGTGACCCCGCCCCAAGGGGAAGATTTCATTTTCCCGTCGGAGCGGGCGCTGGACGTGACAGGCAGATAGCCAGCCCCCTCCCCTCGGGGACTGGGGGGTGGGGGTGGGGCTCCTGGGCGTCCCTCTGCGGACCCAGCTGTGACGCCATCTCCGCGCGCCCGGGGCGGGACGCGCTTGACGTCATCTCCGGGCGCCCGGCGGGGGGGGGCGCTGGGTGTGGGGCGGCTCCGGGGCCGGGGTTGGCGGCGGCCGCGGTGGCGGCGGCTCCGGCACGAGCGGGTGGAGCCCGGAGAGCGCCGTGAGATGGGCCGGTGAGTGTCGCCAGGAGCCGGGGTCTGTGTGCCGGCCCCGCGGAGGCCGAGCGGGCCCGGGCCCGGGGCTCCGGAGGAAGTGGCCCCCGGAGCCCGCCGCCCCGTCGGACCGCGGACCGAGGCGGCGGCGGCGAGAGAGGCCGCGCTCGGACCCCCGCGCGCTCCCCTCCGGCGCTGCCCGGGGGGCGGCCTCGGGGTCACGGCGACCCCGCGGCTGTGATCCCTCTGGCCGGGGTGTCCCGAGTCCTTGGGGGCAGGAAGGGGCCCCAAAACAAGGAAGCATCCATCACCTGCGGGCCCTCCCCCCTGCCCCTCTGCTGTAAGGGACGACCCCCCACCCGCACCCCTTGTACCACACACACTCTAAACGTTGAATTCCCAATTTCGGCCCCTACCCTTTTGGGAGCAAGGATTGAGGGGTCCCAGGAAGCCATACCCCCTAGTATGTTTCTTCCAAGCTCCCCTCCTTCAGGCGGGCGCGCCTCTCGCCCTCAGCGAATTCGGGTCCCCAGCAGTGTTCAGCCTCTTGATTCTTTGGTTCATCTGGCAGCGTTGACACCTCTCTGGAGCCACCCCCCCTCCCCCCTACCCCGTTAGCAGGGTAGCAGGCTACGTCTTCCCCTTTGGAAATCCTCCTTGAGCCCCTCCAGAGGCCGAGGTTTCGGATTCCGAAATGTGCCCAGCGTTGTGGGAACCCGGTACACAGGCTTGGCTCTTTGTTGTCATTCCCGCAGACCTTTTGCCTCTGTCAGTCCTTTTACGAGCTTGTGTTTGGCTAACCCGTCAGTGACCCAGAGGCAGGTGTTCTTTCCTGTGTTTGTTGCAGGGAGCAAGGCTCGTGCTTAGGGTTGAAGAGGTGACCCCCGTTTTTGCTGGGCATGAGGGAGAAAGCTGACTGCTTTTCAGTTTACTGGAACTGCCCAGCAAAGAAAGGGTTGCATGACTTGTGCCCATTGTGTAACTTGTGTTGATGGAGCTAAGAATTTGTCTTTCCACCTTGGTTTTTCCTCTTATCACCTTCCTGTCTATATCCCCCGACTGGGCCAATCTTAAGAGAGAAATGCTGCCTTCGGTTTGGTTTGAGGCTTGCAGTGTACCTTAGGACTTGGGCAGGATAACGGGTAGTTTCTGAGTCCTGGTCAGTACTGCTTTCCGTGTAGGTATTCCGAGATAAAGGCTCTGTCCTTCAGCACCTGATGTTTCTGGCATGCATAGATTCAGATATTGACAGTTTGGCACGAGTTTGTTTTCTCACGGTTAGCTGCTTGAGGAACAAGGCAGTGTTTTTCATTTTTGTTCTCCCTGATTCAGCACTTGTACCAAGTTGTCACTCAGAAAATTTTACACACACACACAGGAGACCTTTATTTTTATCCTGAAAATCTGTTAATAAGGCTTCCCCTTGAGTAACTCCCCCCTGACCTCTTTTTCTGCCCCAGAAACATAAATAATTGTTCTTTTCTCTCTAGTGCCGCTTTTCTCATTTAAATAACCTCCACAACCATGTTTTCATCAGCTCTGAATAAAAGTGAACTCTGTGAAGTTGATTTTTCCTGCTTCCCTTTGTTCACTTGGGAACCATGTTGAGTCGTCCACTTTTATTTGTGTGTTTACCTAAATTGGGATCGGAAGTAAATTTAACCTTTGGGGAAATAGGTACAGGTAGAGAATGAAGGATCTAATGTTAAGGCAAACAATGAGATTTGACATGGAAAATTTTTTCCAGC